GAAATACTAGGTAGTCTTTCAGAAATTCATAATAGTGATATGATCCAAATAAATTCATAATTAAGAAGACTATGCCCCTTGAGACCAAGATAAATATTTAAAGCTGTTACCATGACCAGGGTTTAATTGAAAATGAGTGAGGGAATGATCACATTTCCAACTTTAATTTCGGAGCAACTTGTTCACTAAAAAAAAACCCCTCAGCTTTTGCAGATGTTTATTTCTGAACACACCTCCAGTACATAAGACAAGTATTTTCTTCTCTAATAGATATAAGCATATAAAATTATTTATAAATTACTTGTTTTATCCAAAAGAGCTTTATTACTATTAATAACATAAATCAATAAAGGGAATATATACATCAAAGCTGACTATCAGCATCAGGCAAAAACTGAAGTTATAAGTTAATAAAACAGAAATGTAAATATAATAAATGAGAAAATGCACACATTAAAATAAAATTGTGCCTTGCAGCTAGAACACTTACAATTCCACCATAATATGCACTCACCATATATGACGACAACAGATTCTTCAATGGATGTCTGGTAATGATATTGTGATTCCAACAAGGGCAAGCTAAGGAAGTTTCCAACATCTGCACTTTGATACCAGCCAACATGGAAATGATCTACATTAACTCTTCGTAAACGTCGCATCATTGCTAGCTGGTACTCCTCTGGAAAATTATTTTAATTTGTGTAACAAAGCCAACATATCCTGTGAAATGATCAACTTTCTTTTTGATCTACATATTTAGACTGAGAAATCAATATGACCAAGTTCATTCTTCCCATTTTTATGTCTACTTCCAATTACTTATTATTACTTATTTCTATTTATTACCTATCTTCTTACTTCAGTAATGTTACATTTAATTCTTTATATGTGTTTGAAATTGTGTACTGTTTTAATGTGCAAAGCATGCATGTAACATATAAATACTATATGCTTCACTCCTTTTATCGAGTGTTTCCAAAACTGCATAAATGATGTCTTTGGTAGCTTGACCAAATGGATTACAGCTAATAAAATTGCATTCAATTCTGACAAAACGAATTTTATGAAATTTTGTATTAACAGCAAAACTTGTGTTAATCTAAATATAGGGTATGATAAAACAAAGATGTACAAAAAATAAAATTTTCTGGCCTACAAATTAACAATAACCTTAAACTGGAAAACACATATTCAATACAGTCACATCATTTTTCTGGGAAAATTCAATGGGGAGCAAAAGAGTATTTTATATCTAAAATAAAATCATTAGAATAATGGCTGGCACTAAAAGGAGAGACTCTTGTAGGGAATTATTTGAGAAGTTTAATATTCTTCCACTCTCATTATAATCGTCTGTAGTGGACAAAACTCAGATATTAACAATAAAAGTACAAGACACAGATACAACTTTTGTGTCCTGAATATAAAATCCAGTATACATCAAAATGGGGTTTACTATGCTGGATTAAACTATCATCACCTGCTCTCAAAAGTCTAAGTCCTATTCAGTAAAATAATTTACCATAATATGAAGTTCAGATATTATAAATACATGTGAGTAATAAGGGTGATGCTTTCTTCCATAATTATTTTTGCTGCAATACTGCAGTAAACTACAAATGTCACAAATATCCACTTATAACTGTTTTATAAACAGGTATGACGCGCTTCCACAAAGTAAGTTTCCCACTCGTCCCACAGCTAGCAAACCTCATATTGCGTGAAGCGACTGTGCGTACGTGATAGAGCAGTGACGTAGCATGGCGCATGCACTAACGGTACTTCCCGCGTTCTCACAGTAGCATCGTTGCAGCTGTTGAAGATGGAGGTTCTTATTCCAGCTCCCGCCGACTGTGAAGTGTGGTCAGTGATAACGCTAGGCCGCACACGGCTCGACGGACAGCAAGTCTCCTGCAGGAGTTCAGCTGGGAGGTGTTTAATCATTCACCCTACAGCCCGGACCTCGCTCCCAGTGATTTCCATCTTTTCCTACACCTCAAGAAATTCCTGTCCGGTCAGCGTCAGCGTTTTGAGAATGAAAGAGAGGCGGAGATGGTTGTCACACAGTGGTTCCAATCCCAGGCGGCAGACTTCTACGACACAGGTATTCAAAAGTTGGTCCCACGGTATGACAAATGTCTCAATTCCGGTGGCGAATATGTTGAAAAATAGCTGGACACTTGCTGCATCTGTTGCAATAAATATTTCCATGAAATTGTGTTTTGTTTCTGTAAACGGCCCCAGGGAAACTTACTTTGTGGACGAGCCTCGTACAATGTTTGTGCCATGACATGTAGAACATGTTTTGCATAGTCCTATGAAGGATCTACGAAATTTTAATAAATTCTATTCACTCAGCTTACTTTCTCAGTTTTTCAGTACCTCTGATACCCATTTTTCTCTAAAACAGATAATACTTTCTTAATTCAGGAATAAAGGGTCTTCATACATGGACAATATGGAACATTAAAATCAAGCATTACCTTCATCCATACTTTCGTCATTAGGCTTCGGGAATGGAAAACAGTTGGTAATTTCGAGGCAGTTTTCAACAACCAAACCTAACAGAGCTCCTTGTGCAACTTCCATATTTCCCGTCGATTCTTCGTGACTGTGCTTAACCATCTTCATAACGGCCTGAAACAACATAACCTTCGTGCTAAAAGAAAACACGCATACCTGAAGATAGGAATAATAGTTATTTATCAGTACTACGTTAATATTAATCCTCACTATATTTACCAAACCATCCATCTGTACATAAGCGATAGATGAGTCATTTTCTGGCAATCGCCTAGTAGAACCACGACCACTCGCCATGTCTGAAGAAGTGGACACACGAACCAAATATCAACCCAGATGCGTACACCTACGCAATGTAATGCCGTTAAAATTATGATGCGCCCTATGAGCGATTCTCAGGAATACACAACGTTGACGTGACAGTAGCGCTGTCGATAAGAAGGCGAACTACACTTAAACCCTCAAAATTCATATTCAGCCCACAACTTAGACTACTAAAATACCAGAAAACTTTATCAATCTAAAAATCCCCTGTAAGCAACAAATTATAATATTACAATACTTATTAAAAGAAAACACGAAATTTAAGAAAAACCATAACACTACACAATCCCTGTTTTACATATTACATGTGAAAGGTTCAAATAATATATATTACCACTCCGCTCAATTATATCCCATACAACTGTGTCTTTGTAATTATATTCAGTCTTGAGCAACCAGTTACACTAAGATTTTACTAATCGCCCTGATTATAGAGGTAGTTATAACCTCTGAAACGTCGGTGAACAGGGTGACACTGACTCTCCGATCGTTTCAGGAGTTACAGACAGTGTCGGAGTAGTATTATCTGTGTGTCGACGTTTTATATCCGTGGTTCATATTACCACAGAATATAAAACCATACAGATTAGTCAGGTTGGAGCATTTTTCATACTTGCCCTGAAAACCACAAATCTTACCTAGTAAACTAATTTAGTTGGGATAGCGGAAATGTTTGTTAATTATAGTTCCAAATCTAATATAAAAAACCCAAATTAAAATAAGAGCATCGCTGACTGAAACTGTAAAACATTACCAGCTAAATAAATGGATGACATTTCACCATTCTTCATGCTTTTCCGTGTGTTTTTGCATATAATGAATACAAGGTTACAGTACTGTCAATAGAACGTAGGTATGAATGTGACTAAGCCCATTTCATTGTTTGAGTTCGTGCTATGGATTGATGTACTGTGGTCATAACTATGGTTTGTGCGCATTTGTTTTTCCTGTTTCTATATATATTTATATGCTCGAAGTTCTCTGAACATAACCTATGAAAAAATGGTGTTGATTATGAAGTAATCATTGATGGGTAGCACATTGTGAAAAGAGATGACAGATAAAAATTATTTGAGTATTGAATTTCTGTGTACGATTATGATTTTACTTTGTGTGACAAATGTTTTTGTTGTTTCGCAAAAGTCGTCTTCCGTTGGTAACGATGCACCAAGTCCAGAAGAGAGAAATAATTTAGAGCCGACGTTAAAAATTTTATATTGGTGGGTAAAGGTGAAATGTCATTAACTGATTAAAATGTTATAAGCGTTTTAAAGTACAGGCAAATATGAAACCTCTAATCCACAGACACAACTGAAATTAATTGCAGACTTGTAACCACAGACGGAACATGCACAACATTATATGGATGCGGATCTATATTTCAGCTTTCGATGATGAAGTTTCACAAAATGGCAAAAATGTGATGTTGATCTAAAAAATATAATGAACTTTGTTAGTTTGAGTGTTTACTTACAGTTACTGATCCAGACAAAAAAAAATACCAACTTCCCCACGGTAAACTGGCCCCCATGCCAAATAGTCAGTGGCAGGTTAGGATGTAATTGTGGTTTTGATGGGGTTTTCCCACTTAACATTTTTTCTATAGCTGTGCAGAAATTGGCAGTTTCGGAATTTTATCAGTTACTTGTGTTCCAATACAGTGTTGAAGATAATATAAGCATAAATTTAATTTAATTCTGCTCTTAACTGAGAGCTGTGAAGTTTAAAGATACAGAAAAGTAGCAGGTTTTAGGTTCTTACAGCACAGAGTATGATGATGTCTGTTTTCTAAAGGAATATGTCATGTGAAAGTGAGACACTACAATAAGAGTCAGTAAATTATTTAAAATAAATCCCAATTTTACTGTAGCTGAACTCTGTGAATTCCATTAGGATGTTTAACTAGAGAAACTCGTGTAACTTTAAGTATGTCTGCTTCCCCAGCAATCAGGTTTGATCTCTCAAACCATGTTTTCTTCCTCATGTCCCAATAAATCCTGTGATAACCTCTTTGTATACAACACCTTCATCTATACCAGTCACACCTATTGGAACATACCACAAACTAAGCACACATACCTCTTACCATGTGCACCTAGATCCTGAAAGAGATTAACATTATTCACTTTTCCCCATTTTAAAACTTAAAAGAGATATCTCATTATCATCCATTCTTAGAAAACTGTGCAGAACTATATGTACATTCCACCATTAACAATGCTAGTTAAAACTTCTGACCACTAATGAACGAAAAATGTCATATCACTAATGTTATTGTCCTCTCATTGTGCTATAACCGAGGAAAGAGGTGGAAGGGGAGGTACTTGTGTATAAGCTACCAGAGAGTCAATTAATTAATTAAAAAATTAATTTTCAGTTACTCGTGTGGGTATCGAAAGGTGTTTGAGCAGTATGCAGCCATGCTACAGCAGAAATATCCAGAGATTAATGTAGAAGGTGATCTCTACCCACCCTCAGATTATAATGTAATGTTAGCTAGAGCTCTGGTATGTAAAATATTTATACCCCTCTTATTTATATAAATTAGAATTATAGTATATGACAGTATATGTTAAACACACTAAACTCTTCTTACCAAAGAAAGTTTGTGTGCATTGATTTGCTATGAAAGCTTCAAGACTTATATATGTTAAGAAATAATGTGATGCCAGTTTTGAAGAAAGTTCACTGTGCTGCAGCAGACAGCTGGATTATTCCTTATATTTTATAACAGTGATTCATAAAGTGTTATCTCCAGGGCTGCATTGAGTTATTTGCTCATTATGTATTTTGTAATGAGTTATGTCGTTACCTAATTCCTGTTGGTATGTTGGTTCCGTGGAAGATTTAAATATTCTGAACTTTCCATGAAGGCAGAGAGTTACAAATGCCCTTGCCTTTTATTGGAGTAAATGTACTTTTCCGTTTCAGCTGAGATTGAAGATGTACTAAAATGTATTGAATTTAATATGGAACCTGAAGATGGCTGTCTTCTGGGTTGTTGCATTGTGTAGTCTGGTAGAAGTTTACTGACGTTTCAGAGGTCCTTGCTCCCTCCATCTTCACCCTGATGATGGAGGCCTGACAGACTCCCTAAGGCCCACAAAAGGGCTGTTTCTCAGACTTCTCTCTCTTTCTTTCCTTCTCTCTGCCTCTCTTACACACACACTATGACATGCCCACACACTCCTATTGGTTCCCACCCTGTTGCCTGAATCTGCCACCAGTCCCCACTGGTTAGGAAACTTCTTTTACTGTCTGGTCCCTATAACTCCAGCACTTTCCGCTCGTGTGGCTTATTCATCGTCCTGATGATGGAGGCAGCATGGATCTCTGAAACATTGGTGGACATCTACCAGACTACACAGTGCAACAACCCAGAAGACTGCAATCTTCTGGATATTGTAATAGCAACATAATGGCAAGGTCATGAAACCCCACCATTCATCTGTGTAACCTTGTATTATTAGTATGCGTGTGTCATATTACTCTTGACAGTCTTATATAAATAAATTATAACTATACCAAACTTACCTGATCTAGTCTGTAACTGAACTCACATTTTTGGTTAAATAGAAAGTAAAGTTTAAGTGATGATATAGCTGGCGTAAGTATGTTAATATATTTTACAAGTAACTGGACTTTTTGACTGTATTGTAAAGTTATGTGCAAAAGTAGTTTTACTCATTTTTTTTAATTCAGCCAAGACACTTGACCAGAAGTCAAATAATTTCATTGTGGTAGAGTATTTTAATGCTGATGCTGTTTTAACTAAACATTAATAGTTGAAAGTGACTGTAAACTCATAATCATTTTCAAAGATTCAAAATGGAGATCTTCAAATGCAAAGCAAGAATGTTAAACTGCAGGTCGAAGGACAAGCGACCGTATGTCCTAATATGCCACACTTTTTGTTTGTTAAGGGATCTGTCAAAGTGCTGCTGATCGTGTGTATCCTTGGAAGTGTAAATATCTTCAGTTGGCTTGGTCAGCAAGCACCCTCATGGTGGACATGGTGTACCACAAACAAGTTGTATTCATGTGTGATGATATTTTTTCTTTGTAATGCAATAGAAGGACAATTAGTATCAACTGGAGCTTTTGAAATCTCATTAAATGGTAAGGAAGTTCAGACAAGGTTCTAAAGCTTTTGCATGTTTATTATTAAGTCTTCCCCTTAATCATAACTGTTGTTAACAATTATTGTTGTCATTATTTGATAGGTAAATGACCCTGATACTAGAAGCATATTGGTCCTAAGAGAGAGAAAGTATTAGGAGGATGTAGAAATTTACAAAATGAGGACCAAATTAAGTTGTTCTCTTCAGTAAATATTATTAGGGTGATTAAATCAAGGAGGAGATATTTAAGTATAAATTAATGGTTGCTGTTAAAATGAAACATAGTGTTCTGAATTGGAGAACCAGTACTGAATTTACAGAGAGAAATATTTTGGAATTTTATCATTTTTAACTTAGCATTAATTTGGTATAAACTGACTGTATAGTCATTCCACTGTTTAAAAGAATGTGTGTTTGGTTTCCATGCTTTACAATATCAACCCCTTATTACTTTTCTTGTTCATGTGCATTCATGCTAAGTTGCATGATTGATGCAAGAATTAAAATGGTTATGAACTATTTTATTTCTTTTGCAGATAAACCTGTGTGGTCTAAACTTGAAAGTGGAAAAATTCCTCAGCCTCCAGAGTTGTTCAGAATAATAGAGAACCACATGCACACTGCAGCATAAATATTATAGTGCTATTTCTTATAATTTATATAAAACATACCAGTATTTAATTCATAAACAGTGATATTTAATTATTTGATTTTTTATTGAAAAGGCTGTGTTCAAAAGAAGTTGTTTTCTGAGAAACTGATGACTTTGCTTTAATAGAGTGGGAGATTATCAGAAAGCAACTTGTTCTTATTCAGGTAATGTATTTATACTTTCCTATATGCCTCATACTACCGGGTCTACAATTTATGAGGCTGTAGTCGTGCTTGCATTGTGTGGTCGGTCGGCACACTGTTGATGTGGGCAGGAGTTGTGTGCTTTCTTCTGGTGGGTGACCGGCGAATCAGTTTCAGTGCCGCTAGTAACAGCGAACTACGAATATTTCTCGTCACTAATACATGTTATTACATTAATTGTTCTTACCTTAAATCACAAAAGATTTTCAAACTGACTTTCTTGTGCTTGCAGACAAGCTTCACATCTCGTTAATATGTTTCGAAATACTCGACAAAGCTCTTCTGGGGTAAGTGCCAAAATCAGTTGCCGAATATTTTCTTTAAGTTCTTCTGCATTGTGCGGATTGTTTACACAAACCTTGTTCTTCAGCATGCCCCACAGGTAAAAATCGCATGGGTTTAAGTCTGGGGAACGTGGAGGCCACTCATCGATAACTTGTTCACCAAACACTTTTCTTAATGCTAACATCGACCGATTAGCTGTGTGAGCTGTAGCATTGTCTTGCATGAAGAAACCATAAGTCTTTTCTTCATCGGTCATTTCTTGGAAAAAGGGTCTAAGTATTAAATTTACATAATGTTCACAATTTATTGTTTTATTATAAAATATTGGCCCTATTACACTTACACCAGGAAAACGTCTGCGAAATTTACGGCGGCATCTTCCGTAGGATGAATATTTGGCATATGTTTCGACTAAGAACACACGTTGCTTGGTACTATACACCATATTATCAACGTCAATCCGCAACGAGAGACGCGATGAAACTGATTCGCCGGTGACTCATGGGAAGAACGCGCAATACTCCCCCCCACATCAACAGATTGCCGGCCGACCACGCAATCCAAGCACGACCGCAGCCTCATAAATTGTAGATCTGGTATTTCATCACATGGTGTACATTTTAACAACTTTGCTTTGAATATACCATTATATAGATTAAAGGAAACGGGTTTTGAACTGAATGGGATACGTCAGCTTTTGGTCCATGCTGATGTATGCTAGAAAATTCTTTGAGATTACCAGACGACAGTGAAACATAGAAGGGGGGGGGGGGAATTCTATACTTCTAGCTGTCAGTGATTTTGGTGCACATAATTATAACTTGAAACTATTTCCAGAAGGATATTCAACGTATGAGAAAAGAATAAACAGTTACAAATTATTATAGGGAACAAGCTTTCAGACTAATGTCAATCTGATTTTGTTTTAGACACTGCTGTGAATATTACTTCTGAAAAAGTGATTGGTGTAGTCCTAGCTACATGCATATAATATAAGTTTTTGAGAAAGCATAGCTCCATTTATGTATCAAGCACAACATTTGATAAAGAAGGTAATGCATGTGAAATAATATAAGATGGGGTCTGGAGAAAGAAATATGTCAAACTTGTTGAAGTGAAATCATTGTGTGAGTGAAATATTCGAAACAAAATCAGGAAAGTTTTGTGCATCATTTCATTGGCAAGAGTAAGTATCTTGTTAGTTCCTTATAGTGTACATTTTATTTATTTAATGCATTGTTATAATTAGAGTATATTGGATTTAGTGAGTTTAAAAAGGCAATGTTTTTATTTTTTGCCTTTACAGCACTGAGTTACTGATCACATTTATGCTGATTATTGTAAAATATCATCCACAGGTTAGACATTTTAGATATTGCATTGCTTCTCACTTGTACAAAAGTTTTTAATTGAAATACAGTAACAATTTTGCAGGGGTATAACCTCTTTTTCTTTCTTTGTGTGACTTATTTGCTTTTGTTTATTTCCCAAGTTTTATGATATAAGTACAGATTATGTGAAGGCTATTGAAGGTTTTTGTTAAACAAGGAAGATACTTAGTTTTGAGTGTACTGAAATAATGAATGGCTTGGAATATGTGATTTTATAATTTCATTCTGTTTTCTTCAGTATTTCACATAAGCAAAAGATATGAGTGTATGAATTAAAAGAACATTTCTAAAAGCTTGAAGTACTCATCAAATATTCCCAAAGTTCAATAAAAATTAAATGCTGCATATTTGTAATGATAAATGATGATAAGTGATTTTCCTGTTACCACCTTGAGATCATGTGAGCAAAATAGACTGGGAACAATAATGCTGATGTTTCTTATTAATAGTTTGGAGATTTAAAATGTTACCACTTTTCTGCAACATGTCATGAAAGAGATATTTATTTGTATGAATTTTTTATCTGATTAATTTTATTTAATTTTGGTTAAGCAGTTTTAATGTCTTTATGTCATTCTTAATATAATTTAGAAGACATTGGTTTTCAAGTTCATATTATCCACTTAAAAATAAGACAAAATATTATTATGATTTTGGTGAGATTTCAGGTTTTCACAGTGACAAGTATGATGTTTCACCATGTAGTCCAGTAGATAGTGACATTTCAGAGGTTCTTACTGCTTTCATCATCAGGGCCCTAATGATGGAGGCAGTAGTCACTTTGAACAACAGCCTTGAATTAGCACATTTGTATATATCTGTTTGTTTCCTTGTGGAATAAATTGTTTTCTGCAACTATTGCTTTGTGTAATACTCATGTTACTAAAATGTGAAAGGCCTCTACTATAAAATGGAAGCACTACATTAGTGCAAGCATTAAGAATGGAAATATGATGTAATAGTAATTACTTATAGTATTTACCAGTTGTTTGGTTTCCAGAGTCATATTAACGTACAATTACAATGGTTCTATGAGAATCAAATTCTTCACATGTGACTAACTGTACAAAAGAATGCCTACCCTTGACTATAGCTGTTTTTCGAAGACATACATGTATGATGGAGCACTTTATTATACTCACATCTTTTACTTGTCACTGGCAATACAACATATCCTGAAATTTATGATTGGCAATAATCAACCTGTATAGCCAGAGTTACCTACAGCGTTGCTAAATGAACTAAAAATAAAAGTATGTAACAAGTGTTATTATTTCCTGTAGTTTGTCAATCATTATCATAACATCCGAAGATAGCAGTGTTCTGGAATGTAGCGCCGTATAGTTTGATCAGGGCGCTAAAACACAGAAGACCGGAATATTCATATTCACCGCCGTGAGAACCTCAAGTCCCATTGTGACATCTATCCTCGTATCGTTCAATGTATGTTTTGTGCACCGGTAGATGGTGTTTTATAGTTCTGCTCGGACTATACTTTGTTTTTCAAAGGCAAGTAATCTTGGTGTGAAAATTTGAAATGTATTTTTCAAAGTTAAATTTACTTGCTATTAAAGTGGCATTGCAATACGTAACTTCTTCGTATTTAATAATTCATAGCTCACAATTAGGTGCTTAAAATTACCAATGTGGTTTCGTCTACCTGGTCACGTGTTGGTTTATTTACCAGCAATCTATGTTGGTAACCTTGGTTGCAGTATCGTAGAAAACATACCACTGCTGCGTTGTCATTGGAAGTTAAAGGGAAAGTGTGGTTGTGTCGTGTAATAATGGTGGAAGTTCGGTACCTGTCTTTCACACTTTTCGTATTTTTTGCTGTTTTCACAATTAAAGATTTATTTGTTCAGTCGGAATCGTCGGAACTAGACACGAAGGAAATACCCGTGACGAGGGTGGGATCAAATAAGTTTATCGGACCGACATTAAAATTCCTGTATTGGTAAGCATTCAAATATCCAGTACTGACAGTGATTGATACTGGATTAGAACGTTAGTATGATAGCAATACATTGCTCTTCTGTCTTAATTCTACAACAGTAAATTACGTCAAAAGGGTTAGGTAAAGCCTTTGTTAGGAAATGTCAGAAGCGGGTTAGATGTACGAGACCGTAAATGTTTGCAGAAATAATACCTTATAATGAGGATGATTATTGGTAGGGATATCATTGAGAAAAACTTTTTCGGTTACCACGTGACCTGGCTTGATACAGTTAACTTCAGAAGATTCTTAAATGTTTTCATTGTTGAAATTTCACAGCCACTCAGTTCTCCTCTTTGACAAACCACTTGTGGATTCTGAGCTGCAAGGAAACTGATTATTTTCTCTTTCTTATTTTTGTTATTGTGGACGGTTGTTTTGTCAACTCTATAAATAACAGAAGTTTTACAGAGCTACATTCTTCTACTTTACTTTTATATGTATCTTCTTTTTAATTGTTAGCATTATTTGTTTGTTTTGTAGACTTTTTCAAGCCCTAAATGCAGGGTGATTGAAAAGTCACGCAACCATTTTAAAATATTTATTGATTGTTGCAGTTCAGTACAATTTGACTGGATTAATAAACATGAAATATCGCTGTCTATTTAGAGCCCACATAGGTTATGTAATGCTGTAACTTATTTGCACCAGTCTATCAGTTATCTTCAAATTGTTGAAGTGCAAGGATGTCTTTTTCACAAGTGCAGCAATTGTCCATTGTCGAACACTGCCTGGCATCTTATTCTTATTTAACTTGCCAGAATGAGTTTAGGGATACATTTCCCAGTTCTCCTGTACCGAACTAATCTACAATATCTCTTATGGTAAACAAGGAAGCATGCCAGTTCAGAATATTTCAAGCTTATAATCTTCATTTGAAGCATAATATGATCACATAAATTTACACTTTGGATGTTTATATTTTACAGCTTTTCTTGTGGGTATCAGAAAGCATATCAGGACTATGGGAATATTATACATGGAAAATATCCAGAAATCACAGTAGAAGGTGAACACTATGTCCCCCCTGGTTATAACATGTTTCTTGCAAAAGCATTGGTAAGTAGAATTATGTTATTTTACAGTGTGTGTGAGAATTATGAACAAGTAATTAATTATTCTTACTAAATTTTGTTGAGTGGAAAGGAAAGAACTGGCAAATGTGCTTCTTTCATTTGTTAAAGAAAGAAGCACATTTTTTATTTTGATATTATGATTTGTTTTGATATGGGCATGTTTCTCACCATGTCTCTTCTGCTTCACTGACAGATGACTCTGGCATTTGAATCAGGATTGAATAGAAATTGTGCAGAGGCAGCAGGCTTGCCATCTACTACTCTGAAGCACTAAAAGAGACTAATATGACAATTTGATTTTATCAACTGTCCGGCTCAGTCAAAAGGCTTAATCCTTGAAAGTGAGATGAAGTATTGCTTGTATTAAGTTGCTTTAATTCTGTTTTCAGGGAATTGGAAAACTGCTTATAATAATGTGTATACTGAGTGGGGTGAATATTTTTGATTTCTTTGGACACATAGAACCATCGTGGTGGAAGTGGTGTGTGGAGAACAAACTTTATTCCTGTATGATGTTATTTTTCTTGTGTAATGCCCTGGAAGGGCAGTTGGTTGCAACTGGAGCGTTTGAAATATATTTTAATGGTGAGTAGAATATTGTCATTCTAAAGGGTTCGAGAGTGATATGGTATAGTGACTGACCACGGACTGGGCGACCAGGCTTTGATACCTGACAGGGGCAGAGGATCTTTCCTCTAGCCTACATGTCCAGACCAGCTCTGGGGCCCACCCAGCCTCCTGACCAATGGGTACTGGGATCCATTCCTGTGGGTAATGTGCTGCCAGAGTGTGACGCTGACCACTCATTCTTGTCTAGTGCTGAGGATAAGAGTGAGTAGGAGCTTTATCTCCTCTCCCTTCAAGCATCCCAAGAACCTCAGTACCCATTGGTTAGGAGATTGGGTGGGCCTCAGAGCCAGTCTGGAAAAATCCTCTGCCCCTGTCGGGGATCGAATCCCGGTCGTCCAGTACAGTCAGTCACCACTGACTGAGCTACCACAGCTCATATTGTTCAGTAAACAAATAAATTAGAACTTTTTCTTGATCACTTTTAAAGACAACTCCTAATCCACTGATACTTAGTGTACCCACAATTTATCTAAATGAATAACACAGTAGATAAAAAGCAATCATGTTCAAGGTGGTATGATTTTTTTATTCTTGGAATTTTTTCCTTCTGCATGTCTGAAATAAATGTGTCTTTTTAGTATGACACAGTTTCAAGTGATTTTGAACCTGAAGCAAGAGACAGCAGATCACTCCAAAACATCAGCAGTATGTTATAGTTGTATTGTGTCAGTGTTGTACTTTAGATTTATATTTTGATATTAAATTTGTACATGTATGGAATATAGCTTTTTATTTTCAGATGTGCCTATTTGGTCAAAGCTTGAAACAGGCAGAATACCTCAACCACAAGAGCTTTTCCAGATTATTGATAATCACTTGCAATTCCAAACAGAAGTAGGAGCAAAACCTGGATTTGCAAAATAATGGGTTGGTACTTTTTCACTGAAAGTTTAATTTTTATGTCATGGTTTGATGATGACTTGTCTGTTTGAAGATTTATCTCATTGAAGTGGAGAAATGACAAATAATGGCTAATTAGTTCATGTTAAGATGCCTGCCTTAGGTTTGGAATTTCACAGCACGAATTATAAGTACACTGTTCATTTTATTGTGCTTGATGTTTGATAAAGTACTCAGGTATGTACTTCACATAATTCATTTGAAGTTGTCAACTCAATCTTTGACTCCCTTTGTAAGCTTATACAGTGAAATCTGTGTACTAGTGAATCAACTAACTCCATTTCATCTAGAAAAGCTAATAGGCTCTCAGCTGTTCAAGAAGTTCTAGACTTTTTGTGAATCCTGAAGGTTTATTACTGTACTCACAAGAACATGTGATTGGACCCTGTCTTATGCTATTTGAATTCATTAAACATTCTCATGTTTTTTGTTAAAATCCATTTTAATATTATCATCCTCTCTGAGCCTAGGACTTTCTAGGTGTCTCTTTCTTAAGGTAAGCATTTTACATCTCTGCCATACAAGCTACAAGCTGCATGTGCTGTTAATATCATCTTTAATTTTATTACCATAATAATGTTTGGCTAAGATTACAAATTATGTAGTTTCTTATTATGTAATTTCCTTCATCGTCCTGTTAATTCCTCTCTTTTAGATCTCAGTATTCTTCTCAGCATTTTCTCTTTCCATAGCATGAGAGACAAAGTTTCATATCCACAGAAACAAACGGGTAAAACGATAGCTTTTGTATATCTTGGTCTTCATGATTTTAAAAGGAAATCTGAATGTCGTGGTCATGTGGTTAGCATTCCTG